GAAAAAAGAAAAAAGAAAAAAGAAAAAAGAAAAAAGAAAAAAGAAAACAGACACTGAATTTTACTTGATGAATCACACCATAAAAAATATTTTAATCCTGTCAAAAGACAACTTATCATGATTGTGATAAACCTTGCTGGTTACTGATTAGAATGGGCTTTTGCTCTTAATAGCAAAGATGTAAAATTTTAGTACATACGCAACTTTGGATGGTGCCAAAGAAGTTAACTATCTGCCTGCAGACATCTCGCTAGACAAAGAAATAGAAGGGAGAAAAAAAAAAAAAAAAGAAAAAGGGAAGTGGAAGGGTACGGGAGTGTATTTTATCATTAATCTATAACTACTTACAAATTATTTTAAGTGAGGTATATATAAATTTTTCTCCCAGCTCAGGTTTTAGCTATACCTAAATAAAATAATCAAAACATGAGTTTTTTAAGGTCAAATTTACCTTAAGATATGGATTCAATAATGTTGATCTTTCTGCATAACCTGACAGAAGCTGTGGATTCTTCATTTAATGAATTTTAACATTACAAAACTACAGTAAAATGCTGTCAAGATCCTACTAAATAGAGTGAACTGTATAAATTTTGCTATACTAGAAAGATTCAGGCACAGTAACAATACTTTCTTTTTGGTGCAGGTACTCTCCTTGGAGAACTAAGAACTAATTCTGGTAATATGCCACGTTCAGTCACAAAAGAGCAAATCACACAGGGGTAAATTCAGGGACATTTACTCAGCATGAAGTTTCTGTATGGATAGATACATATACTCCAGAATGGATCCGTACCACAAAGAACAAAAAATTAGTGTGCATGGTTGCAAAAAATAACAGATGCCTGATGTCCTTTAGCTAGAACTTGATTAGGCAATAGTTACTCAGTTTGCATCAGAAAATAAAAACACTTTAGAGTCCCCAGTGCTAATTACACAAATACGAGTTTAGTGCTGTGCTTCCTATGAGGTGCATACAGCCTATAATGAACAAGATCCCACTCAGCAACCTTTAGTTTTCATAAAGAAGAATACAGTGACAATACATCATTTAATACTCTTACTTTGCTTGGTCATTATCTTACAACTGCATCCATTAGTGCTGACCTTGAACACTTAGAACATTCCCATTAATAAAGAAATTCTAACTTATCCACTAATGAACTCATGGACCTAACATTTTTCCATCTCTAGATGCCTGCCTATATATTGCAGAAAGCAGCATGAACAGAAGGAAAAAAAAAAAGCCACATATAGATTCTAGCTTTTTATTGAAACTTTTTCAGTATGTACAGTACAACTCCTATTCTGTCCTCAGCAATATCACTGAGTAAATGTCCAAAAAAAAAGAAAGGATCAACAAGCAGTTCAAAAGAAGGGATTCTGTCCCTCTACTCTGCTCTCAAGAGACCCATCTGGCATACAACATTCAGTTCTGGGGCCACCAACACAAGAAGGACATTGAGCTCCTCTGGACCTCCACAAAGATCATCAGAGGGGCTGGAGCACCTTCCGTACATGGAATGATGGAGAGACTTGGGGCTTTTCAGCCTGGAGAAGAGAAGGCTACACAGGGACCTTATAGCAGCCTTCCAGAACCTGAAGTGAGTCTATAGGAAAGCTGGGGAGGGACATTTTATAAGGGCACATAGTGACAGGATGAGGGGAAATGGCTATAAACTGAGAGAGAGTAGATTCAGACTCAAATTATTTACTGTCAGGGTGGTGAGACACTGGAACAGGTTGCCCAGCGAGGTTGTGGATGCCCCCATCCTGGGTGCATTCAAGGCCAGGCTGAACGGGGCTTTGAGCAACCTGGTCTAGAGGGAGGTGTCCCTGCCTATAGCAGGAGGGTTTAAACTAGGTCTCTTCCAACCCAAAATGAAAAGAGCATTTCAAGTAGTTACAGCATAATACCAGAAAACATTTTCCCTAAATGATATGCTGTAAATGACATTAAAAAAAATGATGCTGCTCAGTACATTAATTACATCCTTCTTTAGCAAGCATCCTAATGTGTAATATCAGAATTGAATTGGAAATATGTGTTCTTACATTTTCTGAACTGTAGATTATCTTGCAGCAAAATGAAAAATCATTTTCTCGGCTCAGAGAAAAACAAGCAATTGTCTTCTGCCCTTTTATTGTCAGCATGATAGCATTTCTCTTTAGGCCATTAATGTAAACAACATGAGAGACAGGAGGAGAAAAGTTAATTTTAAAGATACAGAACATATAACTTCAGATTCCAATTTCTCTCCGCCTTTCGGTCCATAGGACAGTAGGCACTATGAATCCTAACGTAATACCTAAAAACTACAGGCTGAAAGTCAGACAAATACAAGACTTCCTGCATCATTATGGAAACATTTAGTATAGGTTATCTTCAGATCTTTTTAGTTACTTTGATTACGTATTTTGACCAAGTTCAGACATGGTCCACATTTCCTTCCTGAAGATTTGTTTTTAGAATATATTACTAAGGTTAGTCAATACATCCATTTAGTATTTAATTCCTCTTGTAAAGTGAAACAGCTGCAACAGATGAAACGAACAGAATGTGTCCGGAGTACTTTATACATTAAATAAAGATTTACACTTGCAAAACTACATTTTTATTATACTTCCTGAAAAGGTCAACAGCAAATACATCATTCTTAAGAAAAAAAGCTGAGGGAAGCTCTTGAAGCCTCTAAAATATTGTAATTCCAATCTTTTCTAAATACTTTGGTTTCCATTTTTTTCTGTGAAAATTGTGATAAATCATTGTGAATCCTTCTAGAAAAAAAAAAAAAAAAAAAAAAAAAAGAAAAAAGGAGGTTTCTGTAAGTTTGGATTGCTAACCTTTCAAAGTTTTGTGTTAATGATGAAAGATGTTCGTCAGCCTTGCAAGGTACAGGGGATAATAAACTAAACTCTGACTGGATAAAATTTCCATTTAAATTAATTCCTTTGCAGATTTTTCTAAGACATTTATTTCCATTCATTTTTTGTGTGTTTTAACACTGCTGAAATCTGATTCCAGCCATGAGAGCTACCCTGGGGTGACTTGAGCTTTTGTTTGCACTGAATAGAAAAAAAAGAATACTAGAAATTGTGAGAAATCTTGGATGAAACCTGTTCCTTTCTGCAACGTGAACTGGACCTGCAGCTTGCAGAAAACAAGGCTAATTATTGCAGAGACTGGATTTGTTTTTTATTCGTCACAGTGGTTACTAACAATATAGCTTAGGAAGCAGTGGGTCGACATTCATATGCACGACCTCAATTTCAAGGTAACTTAGTACCACCAATATGAGCTGTTTGGCTGTTTATGAAAAATTGTTTCTGTTGACTAAGCTGCACATTTTCATTTGTTTTTGTGTGCTCTTTCTGCAGTGTCTGAATGCAGTAAAAATAAAGGCAATTATATATATTCTACTTACAATGTCTTCTGCAGAGATAAATTCCATTATTTAGTCAGAATGAAATATAAACTTACAAATTGCTGAAGTAGTTAGACATTCCACTGTACTCATAACTGCACGTTCAATTCCATGCATACTGAAGCTCAATTAACATTATAAAAAATCAAGGTTAAACTATAATTACTGTAACTGAAGTTTAGGTATAATTTAACTAATTATACAGATACACACCGTTACAACAGCCATCTCGGCCATTATATTTATGCAAATTTACTCTGCCTTTCAAGTAAAGCTATTTGAATTACATTTTAAATTATTAATCATAACTATCAAAAAGCCCAAATTGTATCTATATACATATAGATGTATCTTACTTTTCCATC